GGTGGTGAAAGGGAAGCTCAGGAAGCTGGCATCTAACCCAACACCTAGCTCCCGGCAGCCCTGGAGAAGGCAGGCAGCTTCCGCCTTCCCTGGACGGCCACGCCAGCCCCTTCTTTCTGCTGGATTCCCCGTTGGGTGCCACCCGGCACAGGCCTAGGTCCCCAGGAGGACTCACGGGGCCTTCTGGATGGGATGATGGAAGGATGGGTGGATGGGGCTCTAAGATGATTGTTATAATGTGGGCATAGGATGGAAAAGGCCTCAGGGTCCCTCCCGGGATCAGCATTCTATCAAATCTAAGACGCAGATGTTGGAATTTTTAAGACGCAAATGTTGGAATTTCTAGCCGCGTGGTAGGTGAAGATGGAGGAGATGCTTTGAGGCCAGGGTCTTCCTGCATTATGGGCTGCAGGCTTCTCCAAGGAGGCAGAGAAATGGGTGCTGAGCAGGCTCCAGGGTCGGCTCTGGCTTTCCCGTCCCGGCAACAGAGCCACAAAGCAGCCCGCACCAGCGAAAAGAGGCCTGCCCAGTCCCACAGTTCACCAGCCCCAAACTACGGCCCTGCTGCCAGCTGGCCCTGGGTGCACCTCCCACTGGTTGCTGATCCTGGGGGACAGGACAGAACATCGTGGTGCCAGCCTGGGACACGGAGTAGCAACGACTGGGCAGTTCCTTGGGCCTGGGTTCTCCAAGCCAGGTCTAGCCAGACCAGGGCACTGTCAGTGGCCTCCCAAGCCAGATCCCGGTAGACTGGTACGAGCCAGCCAGGCCCAGGCCAACCCAGGCAGCCCTGTCCCTGGAAGGCCTCCAGACCACCTGGCTGGCAGCCCTGAGCCCCACTCCACCTGAGCTGGCAGGGTAAGCCATCCCCACAGTGCCATTCGGGGCCCCCAGCTGCCATGCTCCAAGACAATGAATGGGCCTCCTGCTCCCTTCCCCCCAAACCTTCCTGAAGCTCCCACTCTCCTTTCTGGCATCACAAGGAGTTGCTATGGAAATGGGACCACAGGCAGAGCATGACAATGATTTGGGGCAGGGGAGGAGGTGCAGTGGGAGCTGGGCACTCTCCTGGACAGAGGATCTGCCGGTGTGCCAGGTCCCCAGAAAGACATGAAACCCCAGCTGCAGGCCTCCTACCTGCCCTCTTGGCTCCTCGACACCTCAGTGGGACCCGGGGAGCTCTTATCCCGTGCAGCCCGTGTGTTCAGCCGAATGAGCAAATGCCCCGGAGAATGTGAGACCTCCACAGAAACAGCCATTCAAGGACTCTGACAAAGTGGCTTCGGCACTAACCAGGGCTGGCACCCAGGACACGTTCAGCAAACACCGATCAGAAAGCAGGGCACTGGCAGGTGTGCCACGTGTGTGCGTCATGCAGGCCTGTGCCTGCTCCGGACAACAGGACAATCACAGAGCTCGAGAGGCCACGCCCACTGTACAGATGGGGAGACTGAGGCCCAGCAAGGTCAGGGTCGCACAGCAAGTCAACCAAGAAACCAAGCCCATAGCCAGGTCTCTCTTCCCCAGACCTGAACCCTCTGATCAGTGCCCCTAGCTACTCCCTAAGATTCATTCTCCTTTTGTTAAGTATCTACCATGTGCTTTGTCACTGGAACAAAGAGAAATAAAGGACACTGCTCCTGCTCAGAGGAGACAGGCCACCATGATCAGAGGGTGGATGCCAGGACAGAAGGCCAGGGACTGCAGGAGCCCAGGGAAGGTTACCTCAGAGTTTTAGGTTATGCCCTCCCGAGCCATGCTTCTAAAAGACCTCCGAGTTTCCCTGACTTTTCTCCCAACGGCTCCCCCAGCCCAAGACCCCCCTCCAGTCCACCTGGGGCTCACATCTCCAGGAGGTTAATGGGGGTTTTTTCTCATTAGCACCCTAGGTCCTTGCCCTTTCTCTCTTTCCTGGGCACCTCCCATGAGCTAGCGTGATACTAAGCCTGGGGTGAGCAGAGAACCAGTGAGCCCCACTGGCCGCCATCCTGACGGAACACAAATCCTCATCTCTTTGTCAGCAGCATGTAAACGCTCTCTTGTGATTTTGGGTGTGTTTTTTTTTTTTGAGGGGTGGGGGCTGTACTGAGAGAGTAACAGGGACCACCTTACAGAGAGAGCTTGGCTTGGAAGACTCACCAGCTCTGTGTGTGCCATGTCTCCCAGGACCTGTTACACCGGCGGAGACCAAGGTCCTGAGAGGTGGCCAGGTGGACTCTGGGGAACTCAGCACTGAGAATGCAGGTTAGGGAAAGACCAGCAATGACAGAAAGGAAGGCCAGGCCCAGGGCTGTGGGAAAGGAGATGTCTTGGAAGGCTTCCTGATGGAGGAGGGACTAAGGTTGGCTCAGAGCCCGCCCTTGAGTTCTGGCAGGAAAAGTCTCTTCGAGAGGGAGAACCAGGCCAGGGCCTCCCCTGCCAGACCACATGACTTGGGGCTAGCCTGGCAGGTGGAGGGCAAGGGGGGCACATTCCGTGACAGCTGCCATCCTGTCCCCAACCCACTAAGGCCTGCCACCACTGCCACCTCACGTCCCTAGTTACTGCTGCCTGATGGGAAACCAGCTGGGGATGGGAAAACAGCAGAGACAGGAGTGGGGGCAGAGCATAGGAGA